TGGTGCTATTCGTTTATGTATTCGAGGAGAAGGTCAAATAAATATGAATGCTACTTTACGTCAACTAGATTTTTGTCAATTTTTTTCAACACCTAATCAAGCTATTGGAAGATTAACTTATATTCCAATTGTATTTATTAAAAACATTAACATGACACATGGACTAGGCGCATCAGATCAAACTCTTTATTCAGGTATATGGATGCCAACTTTCACTGCTGTGTCAGTATCGGATGAAGCATACTATGTTGAATTTGGAAATTATTTACGTTATATGTCTTCATTAACTATTATTCAAGTAATGCTTGATGAACGTCCATTTTTTGTTAAAAATATTGAACAACCTATTGTCCGAACAGCTGAATTAATTTTTAAACTTTTATTATTTACTTCATTATGTATTGAACTATTTGCTTTTCTGTTTCTTATCATTAAACTTTTTATTATACCATTTTTTCGATTAATTGTATATTTATGGAAAAAATGTCGTGATCAAAATGATAAATCAAATAGTTCAAATGGATCTACTAGATCATCATTCCGTTCAAATTCTTCATACAAAAAAGATTCTATTCAAAAAATGGAAATTGATCAAATGATGGCTCTCGAAACAGATCCATCTATATTCAATAGAAAGCAACAAAACAAACACAACAATTATTCAACATCGAACATTGAATTAAATTCATTTGAAATTAATTATAGATCTTAATTAATTCATCATCTCCAATATTTTAATTTCAATCAAGCTTTTTGTTGGTGAATTTCAATAAAAAAGTATATATGTTATAAAACATTTGTTACAATACAGTCTTACATAGAGAATAACTTGATTAAAAACTTTCTCAGTAGAGCCCCATTAGGGTTGAAATGAGGAACTCACATGTATTCTTGAGTCAAATTATACTAATAGAAAATACATAAAATGAAAAATCTCTATCAGACTGTAGTTGTTCTCCGATGTAATCGATTTTTACTTTTCTGTATTTAGTTTTTTCTTAATTTAACTGACAAATAAATCTGTTATACATATCTATTATATCTATAGCAGGTCTCAATGTACTACTTCATATCTCGATATGCTCACAAACAGTGACATTGATTATTTCCTACAGTTATAACTCGATTAGTTTACACTGCTTTATGTTGACCATATAATGACTTTAGCAAATCGATGCACAACTACCCACCATCCTCGGTATCTTAAGTATAAATTGGTATCTGTGCAAAACATCAAAAATTGCACTATTTAGAACATTCTTAAACGTATTTCAACTTGAAACTGTAAATAGAAAGAGGCCTTAACAAG